AAAAAACGGTCAAGGCCTAGCTCGTCCGCCAGCCTCTCCGCGTCCTCCCTGCACCTCTTAGTGCGAACACCAAACGAACGCAGGCGCGCCGCCAGTCTTCGAAACTGGCGACAGTCTCACACCTCGCAGCCCCCCAAGGAGGGCGAGGTCTTGGGCATCTGCGCGGGTCCCCACTGTGCTGGCCCCCCCAGCAGCCCTCGAAAGTGGAGAGAGGCTCACATTTCGCAGCCCCCCAGGCATGGCGATATCATTTTTGGATTTGCGTGGGGCCCCGCTGTGCTGCCCCGGCCAGCAGCCTTCGAAAGTAGCGAGATTTTCACACTTCAGCGCTCCCAAAGGATAGCGAGGTCCCGTTCGGATCTGCGCGGCACCTCACTGCGTTGGCTCCCCCAGCAGCCCTCGAAAGTGGCGGCAGTTTCGCACTTCACAGAACCCCCATGGATGGCGAGGTCCCGTTGGGATCTGCGTATGGCACCTCACTGCGTTGGCTCCCCCAGCAGCCCTCGAAAGTGGCGGCAGTTTCGCACTTCACAACACCCCCATGGATGGCGAGGTCCCGTTGGGATCTGCGTATGGCACCATGCTGCTGGCTTCCCCAGCAGCCTCTGAATGTGGCGACAGTTTCGCACTTCGCAGCCCCCTCAGGGATGGCGAGGTCCCGTTGGGATCTGCGTGTGGCCCCATTGTGCTGGCTTCCCCAGCAGCCCTCGAAAGTGGCGAGAGTTTCACACTTCGCAGCTCCCCCGGGGATGGCGAGGTTCCGGTTGGATCTGCGTGGGACCCCACTGTGCTGGCTCCCTCAGCAGCCTTCGAAAGTGGCGAGAGTTTCACACTTTGCAGCCTCCTAAGGACGGCCAGGTACCGTTTGGAATTGCGTGGGACCCCATGCTGCTGGCTCCCCCAGCAGCCATCGAAAGTGGCGAGAGTTTCGCACTTCGCAACCCCCCAGGGAAGGCGATTTCCCGTTGGGATCTGCGTGGGGCCCCAGTGTGCTGGCCCCCCAAGCAGTCCTCGAACGTGGCGAGAGTTTCACACTTCGCAGCCCCCCCCCATGGATGGCGAGGTCCCGGTTGGATTTGAAAGTTTCGAAAGTCTTCGAAAGTGGTAACAGTTTCACATTTCACAGCCCCCAAAAAGGATGCGAGAGGAAAGAGCCGAGCGGATAGCGGGAGGGAGGAGGAGACTCGGGGGCGGCAAAGAGGGGGGTGATGACTAGGGGGGGGTGGATATCATGGCGTGGGCCATGATATTTCCCAAGATTTCATGGCGCCTCTTCTTATGTCATTACGTCCCTGGCCACCCCGCTGGGCCGCGCACATGCCGCCGGTCATGATTGGCCCCCCCCTCTTGGACACCCCCCTCTTGGCCGCTCCCGAGAGAAGGAAAAGGAAAACGGCGACCCTATTGCTTCATTCAAAACGAGAACCCAACCAAGGGAGAGGTGGGAAAGAGTGTAGAAGAAGGCGGTGGGACGGCACGGATGAGGCAAAGGAGGGCGAGGATGGCATACAAGGATTTGTGGAGGTGGCGGAGGAGGTGGCGGAACCAGCACAATTTGCCCTCATGCAGCTTTTTGTTGTCGCTGCTGCTGTTGTTATTGTTGCTGTCGTTGTTGCTGTTGTTGTGGTTGTGGTATTTGTTGTTGTTGCTGCTGCTGCTGTTGTTTGTTGTTTGTATGTATATCCATGTCTCTCTCTCGCTCTTTTTTTTTCTTTCTCACTCTCTCTCTCTCTCTCCGCGGCCGCTCCTGTTCTCGCCCATCGGGCTTCCCTGTGCGAAATTCGCTTGGCTGTGGCCCAGCGCATGCTACTACCGACTCGCGCGTCCGCCGAGTCTGGAGCAAACGAGATTAACAGAGGCCGCGGCACGAGTAATGTTTTTTGTGCCGGGAGAGGGGGGAGGAGGAGGAGGAGGACGTGGAGGAGGAGGAGGAGGAGAAGGAGAACGAAGAAGAAGAAGAAGAAGCACACGAGCACTACGAATAACATTGCTAAGACACATAATCATAACACTACTAGTACTATGATCTGGTACTTACAAGCGTAGTATTAATACTACCCGTAAGAATACCACCACCACCACCACTACTACTACTACTACTACTACTACTACGACTACTACTACTACTACTACGACGAAAATGAGTCTGATTAATGAATGTTTCTTCGTAAAGAAGTTGTACTATTAATAATATGCTTCTTCGTATTACTGAAGATATAGATACTACTTTGGTTTAGTAGTCGTACTATGACGTATATGAATAAATGTGTGTTCTGTACTGTCTATGTATACAAATATAAAATTCGTGTTATTACTGTGGTTCGTATTATTACTAATGTTGTTACTGCGATGCTCTTATTACTATTATTCGTATTATTGAAACTGCTGTTATTCGTAATATTCTGAATAATCGTATTACTGTTATTATATATTGTTCGTCTTGTTCGCACTATCTGTATTACCGTGAATACTACTACTAGCACTGCCTAAGACCATCACTACTACTACTACTACTACTACTACTACTACTACTACTACTACTACTACTACTACTACTACTACTACTACTACTACTACTATTAGTAACAATCATAACACTAATTCGAACGGTGCCAGTAATACAAATCGTACTACTAAGCATACTCTACTAATATTTGATCGGTCGAAGTATTCTTAACACTAATACTATTAGCAATCACATCACACTGCCCATGCTAGTACTTCTCATATGCAATATATTAGCAATAGCGGTTACTCTCGGTAGTGCTGTATTATCATTATTCGTGATCGTATTCGTAATAACAGTGATACTGCGAACACTAATGATCGTAATAATACTAAGACTGCTTCTTACTATCCGTTTTTTTGTCTAATGCAACTTTACTAATGTTCATGCTGCTACTCAAGACATTACTACTACTATTATTACTACTGTACGTAATGGCACTACAACTACTCAGCACATCAATCACACGATTAAGCATACTACTCATATTGCCACTAGCAGTGATAGAAATAGTAGTATCAGTAATTAGTATTAATAATGGTCGTAGTAATACTAGACCACTACTGCGACTAGTACTACTTCTCATATGGATATTACTACTGTTAATGATAACAGCACTACTGCTAATAGTACCTATAACTCTAATACATTACTACTGCCAAGCCTGACCACTAATAGCGATACTATAAAAGTTATGAGAGGAGGAGGGTGAGGAGGAGGAGGAGGAAGAGGTGGAGGAGGGGGAGGAGGAGGAATACTACTAATAATCATGTTAATAAGAAGAGGAGGAGGAGGAGGAGGAGGAGGAGGAGGAGGAGAGGAGGAGGAGGAGGAGGAGGAGGAGGGGGAGGAGGAGGAGGAGGAGGAGGAAGAGGAGGAGGAGGAGGACCAGGCGGCGGAGTAGGAGGAGGAGGAGGAGGAGGAGGAGGAGGAGGGGACGGGGCATGAGGATGAGGAGGAGGAGGAATCTTGATAATACGAATACTGTTACTACGACGCATGATAGTACTGTTCTTAGTGATACCAATGCCGACTATCCAAGCAATCAAACTATGGGGATACGAGCACTACTAACAATCACATTGCTGCGAATACGTGGACGCATATAAATAATAAGATGATGACTAATAGCAATGTGGATGGGGACTGCACATACTTATTAGACTACTAGGGGTAATCAATCCAACAGTACTGGTCATAATACGAAGCCACCTCATATGACTTATATTAGTGATAATGTCAAGAAGCGTACGACTAAGAAGATCATGAACAATAATTCTACTAAGGGTACCACTATCACTGCTTATGCTAATACTGACACATATAAGACAACATGTAGGCATATGACTAACACTACAAGTAATATTACTAGTAATAACGCGACCTATCGGAAACATAGTAAGAGCATTCGTACTAATAGTAATACCACTAATGTTACGAAGAACGCTCACACTCATACTAGTGAGACTAGTAAGACCAACATCATGATAATGCGGATGATCATCTTACAATATTATTGGTACTATCAGGGAGTAGGATATGAATGTCAATCATACTACGAGAGCTACAACAACAACTACTACAACTAGTACTCCTAGTCCTACTTCTAGAAATAGTCACAATACGAACAGTATTAACAGCACCAATGCTAACCATAACAACATACTCATTTTTGTCCTAATACGAGCGCTACGAATACTAATCATGACACTCGTATTAGTAATGTTATATTAATGAAGAAGCAATGCTACTACTCATTAGAATGCTAATAAACGTGTTCTAATAATACTACTAAGAAGAACAGGGGAAGGAGGAGGAGGAGGAGGAGGAGGTGGAGGTGGAGGTTGAGGAGGAGGAGGAGGAGGAGGAGCAAGAGGAGGAGCAGGAGGAGGCGGAAAGGGGGAGCAGCAGCAGCAGCAGCAGCAGGAGGAGGAGGAGGAGGAGGAGGAGGAGGATTAAGAGGGAGTAGAGAGGAGGGGGGGTGAGAGGAGGAGGAGAAGGAGGAGGAGGAGGAGGAGGAGGATGAGGTGCGCTGGATATGCCGCGAGAAAGTGTCAAGAGGGGGAGACGGAGGCAAATCCGTAGAAAAATCCGCTCAACACTGGAGACTGCTTGACGAATCCCCTCAAGTCACAGACACGATGATCCTCGAAAAATGGGGGGAGACGAAGGAACATCCGCTCAACATTGGCCCCAGACCTGTCATAGAACATATTTGGAGACTGCTCGACGAATCCTTTCAAATCATAGACAGGGAATCCTCGACAAAAGGTGGGGCCGCAGGCACAGCCGCTCAACATAGTCTCCTGGACCCTTCACACACACACACCACGTTTGGAGACTGCTCGAAGAATCCCTTCGAACCACAGACCCGAATCTCTTCGAAGCTGCCTGGTCGAACGACGCCACCCCCTGCCTGCCCCGACCTCTGCCCCGCCAGCTCAAACCTCGAACCCCCTGCCTACCCTGCCCCGACCTTCGCCGAGCCGCGAAGGACCACCAACATTCGAGGCGCTGCGAAGCGGAGCTCGCTGCGAGGGTGGCGCTGCTCGAGGGGGAGGCGCAGTCGGCAAGGGCCACCTCCGACCGCTGCGCACTGAGCGGCGGCTGCAAGTGACCCGTAGCGTCAGGGGCAACGACAGGGGGGGATGTGATAGGCACAGGGGTGGATGCATCGACCCTCACTCGCCCACGGATCGCCGACAGGGACCCGGTAGCCCGACCCCGCCCAGGAACGTGCGGATTCACCATCGGGGGCTCCTCGCCGATGCATCAGTAACGCATCGCCGATTCCAGATCGATGCTTCCCCCCCCGTGCCAGGGGTCTCACACGTGCACGCAATAGTTCGTGCAACCGTTCGTACGGGATTCGCTCGTCGTCCAATATCAGCACGTGTGTGCGGCGCGCCATGCGCCACAGGATGAACGAACGCATTTTTGTTGGCTTGCGACCCCATTGCGTGGAGTAGATCTGGGATTATTTTTGGCGCCTGTTTCAAGCAGGTGGAGCCTCATCCATAGGACGCACTGCTACAAACAGTCGCGCAGAGGCCTGGAGCCAGACCCCCCCCCTCCCCCCACTTAAACTTAAGTCGGGCCTGTCCCTCCACAGGAGGAACCTTCAAAAATAGTTTAAGAAAATCGTCTGGGGACGATTTTTTGAGCATTGTTCAGCATGTGTTGACTATTTCTGACTATTTTTCAATTTTCGTCCAACCTCCGCCTGTAGGGGGACACGCCCGACCTGAACTTAAGCCCAATGTCGAAACGCCGAATAAGACCTCGTTCACCTGTCTTTGCCCCTCACAGCGGCTCCGCGCGCCGTGGGCGCACATCGGGGTTGCCCCCGAGTCGGCGGGGGACTCGGGCGGGAGCGCTCCGCTTGTGCAGCGGCCGGAGGGCGCCAGCCACCCGGGCCTCCGAGCGCGTCGATGTCCTCGGCCTCGGCCTCCGGTTTTTTCGGAGGTGGATAGACCTCCTACCCTGACATGTCGATTAGCGAATTGGCCGTTTTCGGTTCGCGAGAGGGCGTCGCGGCCGTCGTTGTTGCGGGTCCAGGTCCGTCGGTTTCGGTCCTAGGCCGTTTTCACTAAAAGGTGGTTTACTAAAGGAAGGTTTGTCCACCGCCGATTTTTCAATTTCTTCGAGTTCTTCGATCTTGTAGAATTTTGGAGTTCCTCAGATTTTTCCAGTCGTCGAGTGGGGGATCGGCTGCAGAATCGGTTTGCCCCAGAGTTGATTTCCCGTCGAATCTGCGGAGCATACCTGCAATGCTCCGTAGATCTACCGACTATTCTTCTGTATTTGCCTCCTGGGTTCGACGGGAAAATCAAGTCTCGGGCAAGTCAATTCTGTTGTCGATCTCGCGGCGGGGAGCTTGGTGTGATCACCGCTGGGGTTGCTAAGGGTACAGGGGCTTATACGTGAATGCTAATGTAAGCTAAATCTAGCCTGACTAGCTTACAAGTGGGTTACCCATGCCCCAAGTTGGAAGAGGACAAATAACATAAGCACATCCTTTCTGAGTTCCGCGCGGAATTCAGATTTGATGCTTACGCAGTTTAATGTTGCTCTATAGAAGTGTGTAACCAATGACCGAAGTGGCTTGATTGGGGCCAGGTAGCTCTGCTGAGTGGGCTCGCCCACTTCGCCCAGATCTCTACCCCACCGTAAGTCGCTCAGGGCACTTGCAACCCACTTACAGCTATGGTATCCCACCTTGGCATCCGCATTGCCTATTTCGATCGGATCGATCCGATACGATGCCGAGTTAACCCGGCTCGATCCTTTTCGATTTCCATTCTCTGGCCATCCGATGTGGCCCGATGCTTGCACAGCGTAATTGCGCATCTTGGCGCGGCCGATCCGATGCGATCTCGACTTCGTATCGATGCGGCCCGATCGGATGCATATTTCGATGCGATCCGATATCCCGATATGATGCTGGCTGATCATGCCCAGAAGCCACCAGATCCCCTCGGCCACCTCTGCGGCGATCTAAGTCGAGGCGGGGGACAGGAACGGGCGCTCGGCGAGGGGAAAAGGCCGTGCCGATGCAGCGGTGCCCTTCCACGCGGTCGCCACCGCTCTCGGCGGCGCGCCCAGGGGCGAAAGGCAGGGCTTCCCACCCGGACCCCGTCGAGCCGTCGCAGGAAGCATCGCGGAGGGTTTTTGCCAGTTTTCGGCTTTTGGGGGCCCTCGCTGGGCCCCGGGACTGCGCGAAAAAGCGACCCAGGATGAAAGCCGGTCCCCCCCTCCCCGAGGGTTGTCGCGTCTTTACCTCCGACGGTCTGGGTCGCCGGCACCCGGACAGTTTGCCCCCTGCCCCTGCGACCGGGTTCTCGCTCCGAGCCGTTTTGCTTTGGCGACCCCGGGGCCCTGCGGCGGCCCTCGGGCGTCGAACACGGCGACACATTGTCGGTACCATCTTCTCGAGCCGCTGGGGTCTTGGGGACTGAGCGGGCACGTGCCGTGAAGCGATCCTGGCGTGGGGGTGTGGGCAGAAGGCTGGAGGGCTTCGGAGAAGCCCCGCCGCCATCCGAGAAGGTCTTCTCCCTCTTCCTTCCCAGAACCCCTCAGCGCGCCGCCGACTCCCCGGACCCCCTCCTCCTCCTCCTCCTCCTCCTCCTCCTCCTCCTCCTCCTCCTCCTCCTCCATCCCTTTTTCCTTCATAGATGGCTCCTTCCTGTCGCACCCTGAGTCGTGTTGGTAGTGCGGGCCGGGCGTTTCGCTTCCGCCTCCTCCTCCTCTTTCTCCTTCTCTCCTTCTCCTTCTTCTCCTCCTCCTCCTCCTCCTCCTCCGCCTCCTCCTCCTCCTCCGTCGGCTCCGCGACAAGGTCGTCTGCATGACGTGCCGCCACCGCCCGTGCAGTGACAGCGATGTACGAGACTGCGGCCTCCTTGGAGGTTTTGTGGCTGCGCCTGTGCTCCTGGATTTTGGGGACGTTGTGTGCCACAAGCCCGAGGAAACGGACGGAGGCCTCGATTCGGGGAGCATGCAGCGACATAAGCATGCAAGTTCGGAGCTCCTTGCGGATTTCTCGAGCCTGCGCTGCAGCCTCCTGGCGGCACCTCCAGCGCCGCCTGGCGCGCTCCGCGCGCCAGGGAGGGGCGTCTAGCGCCGGTCCACTGAGATCCGCGCGGAGCTCCGACAGTGTATGCTCATGCAGCTTTCCTTTTGTTCCTCCACCAGGGGTTCCCTCCCGTGGTGACGCTGCTTGAGGTCCAGCTTTTCCTGGCCCCGAGGAGGGTCTCAAGTCCAGGACCACTGTCGGCCATCTTGTCTTCCCTGGGGGCTCGACTGTGGCTGGCTCGGGCCACGGAGTCAAGATGGCCACAGAGTTTTCACGGGGCCCCTGTTGCAAGCGGCGCGCCACAAAGGTTGCGTCCCAATAGCCCTCCCATCGGTCTCTGGAATTTCGTGGATGACGCAGTCGTGCACAGCGAGGGCATTGTGGCTTCTGTTCGGACCCAGATGGTGGCATTGGCGGGACAGCTCGTGCAGTCGTTTGCCGAACAGTGGCTGCCGATCTCGGACAAGACCACATTGGTCTCTAACTCGGGATCGCTCGGCCGCGGCTTGGAGAGCGATCTGAAAGCCACGAGCTTGCCCATCAGTAGGACTGCCTTTGCCGTAGACCTGGGCTGGGACACGACGGCAGGAGCTCGCAGAGTCGTCCGCGAGTTGGGAGAGCCGAGCCAAGTGCCGGCTCCACTGAGGTCGAACCAGCAGAATCCGCAAGCACGCTAAACTCTTCGCTGCGTGCAAGGACCTCTTTTTGCGCTGAGCCCTCCCCCAGTCCTCCTACGGACGCCCCGTGGTGGGCACCTCGCCCTCCTCCATCACCATCCTGAGACGCCACGCCGCGTCGGTCGTGGCGGGCAAGTGCCCCGTGCAGGTTCCTCACGTCGACCCTGGCTCTCTGGCTGGGGGACAACGATTCCGCTATTTCCGTTGCGCGTCCAGCTGCTGCAGGCTTGGTTCGACGTGTGGATGGCCACTCCCGCTCGCTCTGCGCAAAACGATGGCGGCTTATTGTTCCTGACGCCGAATGGAGGAGGCCCGTCGGGGGAATGTGCGAACTTTGGCGATTCCCTGACCTACCGACTTTCGAGGCGAGTCCTGATGACGTTTCGTTTTTTTTTTTTTTTTTTTTTTTTTTTTTTTTTTTTTTTTTTTTTTTTTGTTGTTTTCGTTTTTTTTTTTTTTTTTTTTTCTTATCTCCGGGGCTTCTCGAGGATGTGCGAGAAGACATTCTTTTGGGTCTATGGGCTTCCAACGCCTTCCACCCCCACGGAGAGTCCTTCAGCGAGGGATCCAGTCTCGTCCCTATTAGGGTGAAACTCACTCGTGTCTTGCGTAAGGGAACGTATGATGAGGTTGGCCAGCTCGTCGCCATTGCTTTTGGAGGGCAATGGCCGCATGACAGGCAAATAGAAGCGGGATGCAATGTCGCCTCTGTGTGCCCTCGGTGCGGGTCTTGCAGGGGGATTCTGTTCAGTCGGACTATCTGGGAGTGTCCCTGTCATCGAGGGAGCCCCGCCTACGAGAAATGAGGTTTTTTTTTGTCTCCCCTGATTTTTTTTTACGGGGGGGATGGTGTGGAAGGTTCGGGAGGGTGGAGATGACCCAGAGCAACCACTCACGACCGATGTGCCAGCCAGAGGCTGGTCGTTCGAGTCCAGGCTCTTGGTTTGTGGTGACGGCTCAGGCGGCCAATGCAGCAGCGACGACGTCCGCGGACGTCGCGTCGGCTCCGCTGCGGTCGTGTGGCGATGTGCCGACCGCGGCATAGAGAGCCTGGCAGGAGAGGCTTTGGACGGGAGAAGGGTCTGCGTCGCACCTGCTGCGGTGTGAACTCCGACCTTTGGCGCCTCATCAAGGCCGCCCTAGCCTCTCGCAGCGGGCAGGCCAAGGTCGTTTGGATCCCCAGCCACGTCGACCCCAACGAACCCTCCCTCTCCAACGTCCCCGGGGAGGCAGGTAGCTCGGGGGAACGACGCCGCTGACGCGCTCGCGGGTGAAGCCTCGAAGGGCGCGTGGCCTGCTGCCCTCCTCGGGAGAGCTCCCGACGCCGACGTGGGGGACCGTACTGCGGCTCTGGCGCGCCGTCGTGCGCGCCGGGCGTTCGCCGGCGCCTCGGCGGCCGCCCCGTGGACTGCCGAGCGGCTTTCGACCGCTCGACGCCCGATCCCCGAGCCCGCCACCCAGCACGCCCCCCTCTGCGCCCCCCCCGGTGCTCTGTCGAAGCGGGGCGCCGCTGGGCCTGCGCGCTCGCTGGGTGGTGCCCGGCTCCGGGCTTGCGGGAGCGGGCGCCACCGCGTCTGAGGCCGTGACAGGTCGCCCCGAGAGGCACTCCGGCGACGTCATTCGGGAAGCTGGGGGACGAGGCTTTTGGGGGGAGGGACGGGACATTGCAGGCCAGCCACATCTGGGGGAGCCGTGGTCCTTACCCCCCTGGGGGGGCCATCGATTTCGACACCCCTCTCGAGAGATCGTCGATGCGATGGGTTCCCCCAAGTTGGGTAAGGAAGGACCGCAGCTCCCATTGTTGTGGCTGGTCAGAATTGAGCGATTCCCATTTCTTTCAGCCGTGGCCGTGCCGCAGCCTTCTCATGCGCTCTCGTTGCGGGCGCACGGCCTCCGTCGACGCCCTCAACCTTTTTGGGGGCTTGTCCGGGCCGCAAGGGCCGCGAGCACATGGCGCGGATCCGCGAAGGTCTGCGCCCACGTCGGCGGATCCCTGCGGCGGCCGTCTGCGACGCGGGCAGGGTGAGGCGCGAGGGAGCCCTGCACCATCCCCCTGTTAAGTTCTGACGTTCCTCGGGTGTTTCCTGGTGGGTAGGCCCCCGCCAATGTGTGGGTGGGTGCCAGGGAACTCAGCGGACCCCCCCCTCTCCTCCCTCCTCCCTCCTCGACCTTCCTCCTCATCCTTGCGATTCATTCCCAACGTGGCCTCCCAGAGATCTGGGCCCTTTTCCCAGGAATGCTTTTTCTTACGCTGGGGCGTCTTTTGACGGTTCGGGGGCCCGGTGAGGGGCCCGCGCGGAGGGCGAAGCTTGCCAACGGCTTCCCGTCATGTTCTTCATGATTCGGGGGGTTCGGGTCTCAGGGCCACCTAAGGTCCCACTGGCGCCGCCCGCACGTGGGCGCCACTCTCGTTTCGGCACACCCCTCACACGTTTCGTGGCCCCACAGGGAGCTCCGCCGAAGGTCCCACTGCGATTCGGCGCACCCCTCACACGTTTCATGGCCCCATCGGGAGTTACACCGAAGGCCCCAGTGGCGCCGCCCGCATTTGGGCGACACTCCCGTTTCGGCGCGCCCCTCACACGTTACGTGGCCCCATCGGGAGCTCCACCGAAGGCGGCCCGCATGTGGGCGCCAGTCCGTTTCGGCACACTCTTCACACGTTTCGAGGCGTCATAAAGGGGGGCTCCACCGAAGACCCTATTGGCGCCACCCGCATGTGGGCGTCACTTCATTTTCGGCACACCCCTCGCACGTTTCGTGGCCCCGCAGGGAGCTCCACCCAAGGGTTCTACTTTCGTTTCGGCACACCCTTCACACATTCCGTGGCCCCACGAGGAACTCCGCCAGAGGGTCCAGTGGCGCCGCCCGCATGTGGGCGCCACGCCGTTTCGGTACACCCCTCACACGTTACGTGGCCCCATAGGGAGCTCCACCGAAGGCCCCATTGGCGCCGCCCGCATGTGGGCGCCACCCCTGTGTCGGTACATCCCTCACATGTTTCGCTGTCCCATAGGGCGCTCCACCGAAGGCCCCATTGGCGCCGCCCGCATGTGGACGCCTCCCGCTTGCGGTACATCCCTCACATGTTTCGCTGTCCCATAGGGAGCTCCACCGAAGACCCCACTGGCGCCGCCTGCATGCGGGCAACATTCCCGTTTCGGCACACCCTTCACACGTTTAGCGGCCCCATAGGGAGCTCCACCTGAGGCCCCAGCGGCACGGCCCGCATGTGGGCAACACCCCCGCTTCCACACACCCCTCACACGTTTCGTGGTCCCACAGAGCTCCACCTACGGTCCAAGTGGCGCAGTCCGCATGTGGGCCTCACCCACGTTTCGGCACATCCCTCGCACGTTTCGTGGCTCCACAGAGAGCTCCACCTACGGTGCCAGTGGCGCAGTCCGCACCCCCGTTTCGGCAAACCCCTCACACGTTTCGTGGCTCCATAGTGACACCTACGATCTCAGTGGCGCAGCCCGCACCTGGGCGATACCCACGTTTCGGCACACCCCTCACACGTTTCGTGGCTCCACAGAGAATTCCACATATTGTGCCAGCGGCACAGCCTGCATGCGGGCGGTGCCCCATAGGGATATCCATTCAAAACGGCACTCACAACTGCGGTGTTCACATTTGCATATGGTTGGGCTCCCCCTCCAGTCGTGGACGCACCCATATTCAGACCAGCTCATTCTCAGAGGCACTCGTACCCAGCCGCTTATACTCGGACTCACTTCCGCCCAGACTGAGCCTTACGTAGCCGCTCCCATGCACACCTGCTTGCCCTGATATTCACTCACGTTGAGATGCTCGAAAAGGATTGCGCCACCGGGGGATCTCCGCGTCGAACACATCTCCCCTCTCTACCTCCCTCCCTCTATATATTCATTATATTGAGATATCGGCCTCTCTCGCTGTCTCCCCTCTCTCTCTCGCTCTCTCTCGCTCTCTCTCTTTCTCCCTCCCTTTCTCTCTTCGCATTCCGGCGTGCAGGTCTTTTGCACCACGGCGAACACGATACGTTTGGATATTTCGAGATGTTCTTGGAGCCGGTCGCATCGGAAGGGGGAGGGGCGAGCAGGAGTGTCGGCATGTCAGGATGCGTATTCTCTGGGACACCTTGGTTGGAGGTGGTCACCAGTCAAGGATCAGCCCCGGCCCCGTTCCCGCGAGATCTCGCGCCGGATCGCAGGACAACCTCCTCGGAGACTTCCGAGGCACATGCTCGCCGCCCCGAGAGCGAGCGACCATATGGCCTGAAGCTCCCGGCAATCTGCAGCGGCGATCAATCATCATCATCATCATCATCATCATCATCATCATCATCATCATCATCATCATCATCATCATCATCATCATCATCATCATCATCATCATCATCATCATCATCATTATTATCATCATCATTATCATCATTATCATCACCACCATCACCATCATCACCATCATCATCACCATCATCATCACCACCATCACCATTATCATCACCATCATCACCATCATCATTAGCATCATCATCATCACCACCATCATCATCAACATCATCATTATCATTATCATCATCATCGTTCTCATCATCATCACCACCATCATCAGCATCATCATCAGCATCAGCATCATCGTCATCCTCATTATCATCCTCGTCGTCGTCGTAGTCGTCATCGTCGTCGTCGTCATCCTCGTCGTCGTCGTCGTCGTCAGCACCATCATCATCATCATCATCATCATCATCATCATCATCATCATCATCATCATCATCATCATCATCATCATCATCATCATCATCATCATCAACAACATCATCATCAGCATCATCGTCATCGTCATCGTCGTTGTCATCGCCATCGTCATAGTCATCATCATCACCATCATCATCATCAGCATCATCATAATGTAGTTGCTTGCTGAGTGTTTTGATCGTTGTAATGGTGCGTACCGCAATCACCGCGGCTCAAGTCTTGACTGGTGCGGCTCCAGTGCAAGGCATCGCCCAGTTTCTCTCAGAGGCTGTGTGATAGGTGGCTCAGGCGGTGGGAGCTTCTGTGGTGGCGCGCGCGGCCGCGCCGAGCTCTGGGGCCCGCTCGCCGCAGCTGACCTGCCCCGCCATCCCCGCCTGTGTCTGTGCGGGCGCGGGCGGACAAGGGCCCGAACCCTCGTGCGGCGGCCTCATCGCGGCCTCCTCGGTGGCAGCGGTAACTCTCGGCTTGGCCGTCGGTTGTGGGAGGCGCGTTGCTTGCGCGCCGCGCGGTGGGCGGCCCCGCCCCTGAAGAGCTCGTTGGCCGCTTCGAGGAGACGACCCGCGCGCAGCTGAAGGCCAACAGGGATATGAGGACGTCTTCTCCGTGACTCTGGCTCATCAGTTGCACGTGTGCCTTGTTCGATGTCGGATTGTTGGAGTTCGCGTATGGCACGAGAGGCTCATAGTGTATCGTTGTCCTGTACGACTGTCTATGTCATCGCCCCATATGGCGATCGGTATGAGGAGAGCGGCATCCCCGAGTGCGACATCGCTGCCATCACCGTCCTGGCTGGTCAAGGTGAAACGGCCCGAGGGGCTGGCAGTATACGGCTTCCGAACGCTACCGTCCGCTGCCGACGTGTTGGCGGGCATCATGGAGGCGGTCTTCCTCTCTGGCGGCGTCCGCCCTGCGTCGCACGCCAACATGCCTCTGGCTGCCGGCAGCGTGGGCGGCTTGGCGGCGGGCGTGCGCGCGTTGGCGGATCCTGCGCCGTCCCCGCCCGCGGACGCGCCTGGCGGGCCCCGCTGGGGCCCCTGGTGGGGCGCTGGCGATCGCGGGCGGAGCGGGCGCTGCGCCAGTGCCGCCAGGCGGGGGCGTCGCGATGCGTGGCGTGGTGGCGGCCCTGGCGGGCGCGGGCGGCGCGCCCGCCGCAGTGCCTGGGGCCCTCGCGCTGCCGGCACGGCCCGCCGCCGCCGTCGCCGCCGCGGCGGCGCCGCCTCCCGCGGCAGTGTCGGGTGGGGCTCCGCCGTGGCAGCGGCAGGCGGCGCCCTCGCGCTGCCCGCTGCGGCCCTTGGGGCCGCGGCGCCGCCGCTCGCTGCGGCCGACCTTCGAGTCGACGCCGTGAGCATCGACGTCCGCGGCGACCGCTGGAGGGACTTCCTCGAGGGAGCGATGTTCCATTCGTCGACGGCCTGGCGAGACTGGCCCGTGCGCGGGCCGAGGAGTGCGGCTTGGGTGTGCTCCCACATCTAGCGCCAGGCCGCCTCGCCGACGGCCTGGCATACCAATTGGATGGTCGAGGGGCGGATCGCGGAGGGCGATCCGATTACGCGTGAGCACGGCCTCCTTTGCCGCATCCTGGAGCTGACGGTGGGCTACGACCAAGTCAATATGGGAGAGCTGGCGCATCTGGAGATGACGGCGCGGCGCCTCTTCAGCCACGTGAAGAGAAGGTGGTCGAGCAGGTTTTTAGGCCCTAAGGGAGCGACAAGAAGGACAAGGACAAGGTCCACGCGCTGGACGGATGGCGCCGAGGGTAATCGGTTCCTCGGCGCCCAGGAGAGCAGAGGCATCGAGTGTGTCTGCCCGCTGCTCAGCACGTGAACTGCGGATGAGTTCAGAGCCGAGGCTGCGGTGGCTAAAGAGGGCAGAAAGGCCCGCGAGGAGCGGGCGTTACGCCGCTAAGTCGCCGACGGCGCTTCGCTTTCTTGCGTCTGGCCCCTCGTCGAGGCAGCTGGGGCTCCTTGGGCCAGGACCTGCACCGCTCCGCGACGGCGATCTCGTCGGATGGTCGCTGGTGCAATCTCTTTCCTCTTCCTTGGCTCGCTGTTGACGCTCGTCGAGAGCTCGGTGTTTCTCGGCGCGGTCCTCGGCGATGCGGCCGTGGTGCTGCCTGGCATGTCTGGGCCAACGAGGGCATTGACGGCTCGGCGACCTCAGTGGCCAGCGCGATTTGGGTTTTGGCGCCCGACGGCGCGGGCAACTTGCCTCTGGGGCTAGCGCTGGAGCTCCGCCGCGTGGCCGATTCATTCGGTTCTTTTCCGCGGCCTGCTGACGTGCCCGTCAACGTGGCTACCTTGGATGCCGCCCTCGGAGAGTTGCTCCGTCGCGGACCTGGGAATTGCGAAGGCGACGCCATGGTGGGGCCCTGCGCCGAGGACGCAGTGTCCTGGCCTGCTGCGGGAAGGACCCCCTACGCCCTTGGCCAATCAGTGCGATGCGGCCGCCCTTTCATGGCTAGAGTCGTGGAGGACGAATATGCTGGTCTCCGAGCCCGTTGCAGTTGCCGGACGTTCGGGGCCTGGACTGGGCAAGCCCTGCGTCGACCCTGCCGGCGAGCGCGTCATGGGCAGGCATGGGGCTCAGCCCCGAAGTTTCAAGCTACATGGCGGCTGCGGACATCCAGTGCGCCTTCTTCCACATGGGGCTTCTCTCGGATCTTGCCCGCGCCCTGGCCCTCCCTTGCGCCTCGGCATGGGGCTGGGCGTTGACGTAGTACCAGAGAATTTGGTTATGCCGATGGGTTGGAGCTGGGCGTTGGTTGCACTTCTGCCTGGAAACGTTGGCCCGGATCATAGGTCGGGATGCGTCGGTGCAGAAGTGTCGGCTTATCGTCGGCGCGGCCCCGCGGGTCCTGCTGCGGTGCGCCGGCGATGCGGCCGCGGCCGCCCACGTCGGCCACGCTCGCGTGGTTGCTGGCTCTCAGGGGCTTGAGGCCGCGAGCTGCAGCTGATCTCGGACGTCGTGTCTCGCCACCGATTGCCAGCGCATGAGGTGCAGCAGGCTCGCGCCACCATGATTTTCACAGGGTCTAGAGTTCGATGATGTAGAAGGTGCCATGAGGGTGCCTTGTTGTCGCCTAGCTCGACTGCGTCTGGGCATTCCATCTGCGCTGCGTCACTGAAAGATCCTCTCCTCGTGCTCTCTCTACGTTGGTTGGGTGCATCGCGTGGGCCGTGCTAGCAGGCTGGATGGAGACTCTGTCGACGGTGTATGCTACGTCGCCTTTGCCCGAAGTCGGTCGCCCGAGCCTGTCAGGATCTGGGGCGGGGTCCTCGGAGAGCTCCATTGGGTTTAAGCATCGCTGCCGCTGTGGGCCGCGTCGTGGCGTCTGCCGTGGGATCTCGATGTCGCGGCCTCTGGCTCCTCTGGGTGTGGCATCGGGGTGTGCCGTCGTGAGTTGCCCGTGGCCGTCGTCGCCGAGATAGGTCGTCTCGCCGAGAGAGTCAGGTGCAGGTTCTATGTCGCCGTAGCCGCTCGACAACATTCCCTTTCGGGTGCTCGCGGGGATCCCGAGTATGCTTCTCCTCTCCCTCGTGGCCGTGCTCTTGGTTTTCCTCGTGGGGCCTCTGCAGGTCAAGGGGGTCTTGGAGGTCCTCGGGGTATGGGGGGGGCGTCATCAACTCAGAGCTCCATGAACGTCGGGGCGGGGCTCCCCGGTTTCGCAGAAGCCCCCGGGGCAGATCCTGAAGGGGCCGGCGGCCCGACTGGAAGGTGGCCCACTCTAGCAGGGTGCGCTTGATAGGGGGGGGGGGGGCATTTTGGAGTCCGAGGAGGGCGCTCTGGATTTCGCCCTCCGCCACCTCCTGCGCCCGGGGCCCTTGCAGGGCCGCCGCCACCACGTCTTCGTGGACAACGTGGCTCTGGCGCTCACTGCCGGCAGGGGCCGCGGCCGCGCGGCCAAGCGCCGCGTCGCCTCTCGGCTGCTTGCCGCTGGATGCAGGGCTGACGTTCGCTAGGGCCCGTCGGAGTTCATTCCGTCCGATGCCCCGTCGAGGTCTGGCTTCTTCGCGGGTTGCCGTGGTTTGGCGATCCTCGGGATGGGGCGGGGCCCTCCGCCGCCGCCTTCGCGGGGGCCGCCCGTCTCGTGAGCTTGCGCACCAGAGGCTCGCCCCGCAAGCGTTGTCGTCGGAGCTGTCGAGCGGGCGCCTGAGCCTCCCGGGGGCAGCGGCGCTCGCCGACGCCGCTGCCATGGGCCAAGCACTGCGCCCCTGCGCCCGGGAGGCTGATTTCCAGGTGTCGGTTGATGGGTGCAGCGCGGTCGTCGGTGCAGGAGCTCGACGTGATCTCGGCGGCCTTCCTGGCGCGCCCGGCGTAAGTCGGCATCGACGCGGCGGCGGAGGGGGTCTCCTTGGCGGCGGTGCGGCATGTGCTGCCTGCCTTGGGCCCTCCGCGCGTCTCGCTGCTGAGAGCGTGCAAGGCGCTGAATGGCTGGGGGGAGCTGGGGCCGCCCCGCGTGCGTCTGCCGATCCCATCGGCCTGCCGTGATGGCGATCGTGGGCGTCGTGATCTCGACCAGTTAGCTTCCTTCTGCGATGTTCGTGCTCCTCGCCTTCGCTGGCAACCCGCGCCCTTCGAAGGCTCTCCATCTCCGCGACGACTCATTCGCGCTCCCTGACCCGCTTGCAAAAAGGGACTGCGGCCAGGGGGGCCTCCTGCTCAGCCCGAGCGAGGATGGGCGCCCTGGCAAGACGGGGATCACCTACGAGAGCGTCGCCCTGGACAGGCCGAGCGGTGGCCGCTGTGGGCGGCTCTGAAGCTCGCCCGTCATGGCGGCGCGGCGCTGCGGGGCTTCGACGCGGCGGACGTGCGCGGCGCCCTCGACCAGGCGACGGGGCGGCTGGGTTCGGAGGCGCAGCCTTCCCTGCATGTGCTTCGGCACAGCGCGGCCAGCGACGACCTCCCGGCGGCGCGGTTCTCGTTGCCCGAGGCGAAAGACGCTGGAAGGTGGATCGCCGATTGCTGTCTGCGGCGGTCTGCAAAGAGGGCCAAGCTGCAGCGACAGATGGACGACCTGCCCGACGAGGTGACGTCTATCGGCCAGCTGGTGGATGCCCACCTCGGGGCGCTGATTGAGGCAGCTGCCCTGGGGATGCCCTTCCCGCGGCCTGTTCCCGTGCGGCTGGCGGCTTCGTCGCGCGGAAGGGTGAAGCCTTCTTTGACGACCAAGTGGGCTGCTATCTGACGCGCCGGCTGGCGGCCGCTCTGTCTTCGGCGCGTCTTCTGCCTCGCTCGGACTTCATCGGACTGGGGGCCGTCTCGTGGCCGATCGCGCGTCGCTGGCAGGCCTTGGGGTTCGCGGCCATTCTTTTCGATCCCAACAAACATCAGGGGTTCGACTTGTCTAGGCCCGCGGTGCGCCAGAGGATCTTGGGATGGTTCGGGGGTCCGTGGCCCTGGGTGTCTCGGTCTCCCTTGCCTCGGGGTCCTGGGCCCCCCTCTGCTCGGTCTCGGGGTTTCTTGGGTTCTCTCGCCGCCGGGGCCGTCGAATGCCATCGCTTTAGGGTCTTCGTTTTTGCTGACAGTCCTGGCAGCTCCTTTCAGGCGGCGCTAGCCTCTTTCAAACACGCGTGCTCTCTCGCATCGCATTCCGCTGGATTCAGATTCTGTCGGTGCGTTGGCCGTCGCCTTTGCCCTTCCAGAATATGGGTCTGGATTGTTTTTTTTTCACCTCGCTCTGCTCGCCCCTATTGCACGGAAAAGGTGGTGAACGACGTTATGACCAGCGTCGTTTTCGCGTCAAGATTGCTGTTCAAGATAGTCGTGGTATCCCGTGGGCTCATGGCGTGAATCAATATCCACGGACGTTCGCCCAATGGAGTGCTGACTGGCTCCTGAAATGTGCAGTGAACCTTCGTGAAGCTACGCTCTGTCGACTTGCGTTGTGCATGCGCAAATGTTTTGTAAATGTGGTCTGCGAGTGGGCCAGAAAATCCAAGTATGCCAAGTACTGGTCTCTCGAGTTTGGCTGCTGTGCTGTCTGTCATCTGGTGCCTCCTTCGCTGGCGAGGCAGTCGCCCGCGCCCCCAGTCAGCAAATATAATCTTTGGCGCAAGGAATGTCAGAAAATCATTTAACTGCTTGCTGAGTGCGTGCCGCAAGCACCGGCTCAAGTCTCCCTCCCGCCCCCTGCTCTCGCCATTTGGTCTCTCGAGTTTGGTTGCTGCGCTGCGCTGTCTGTCTTCAGGCGCCTTCTCTGCTTGTCTGACGGTCGCCCTTCCCCCCAATCGTATCAGCATCGTCATCATCATCGTCATCATCATCGTCATCATCATTATTGTCATCGCCATCGTCATACTGATCATCGTCATCATCATCATCATCACCATCATCATCATCATCGTTACCTTCATCGTCATCATCCGCATCAGCATCGTCATCGTCATCGTCATCGTCATCATCATCATCAGCATCATCATCATCGTCATCATCATGATCCTCATCAGCATCATCATCATCAGCATCATCGTCATCATCATCATAGCCAGCGCCTTTGGGGACCGAGGCGATTCTCCTCCGAGGGATGTTGATGAGGATTTGGATTTCAACAATCCGCCGGTCTCTCTTCCATCTGCTTTGTCTGTTGTCTCTTGTAATGATCATGTATTGCTTGGTGAAGTCAAGGCTGCGAAATGAGCGACGGTCTCGAACCGATGGGTGAAGTTCATCTCTCTCTGCCGCAGATCTCCAGCTGCTTGCGGCAAGTCCCGCCACCGTGCCTGGGTGGTGGGTTGTAAGCCTAGTAGATGTTCGTTGGGATCTTGTGGGGGGCATGTCGGGGGCCTTTTGGAGGCAGTTCTGAGGCCTCTCGGCGGCCGTTTTGGGGCCTCTTGGGGTGCCATTGGGTTTCGTGGTGGCTTCTTGGGGCCTCTTGGGGCCTCTTAAGGGCCCCTTGGGGCGGAAGGCTTGGATTTTAGGTTCGTGTTCCCTGTCTGGGCCTTCTTTGGGGGCCGTCTTGGGGTCGTCTTGGGCCGTCTTGGGCGCCTCTTGGGCTGTCTTGGGGCGCTCTTAGGCAATCTTCGGGCTCTGTTGGGGGCCTGCGGGGCCGTTTTGGGGTGGTCTTTGGGGCCTCTTGGGCCGTGTTGGAGCGCCGGAAAATCGAAAAAGCGAGAACGCCCAAATCCTCCGTACACACACGGGGAACCGATGATTCCCAACAATCCTGTGGTGTTGGGTCTTTCCTTGTTTTGAAGGGACAGCGCCCCGCGTCCCTCGCTCCTTCCTCTTCCCACTCCTCGCTCGTCCTCTTTCTGTTTCTGCCGCCCGCGTCCCATTTCGGCACGTCCCTCACGCGTTTCGTGGCCCGTAGGGAGCTCGAAGGCCCCAGTGGCTGTGACCACATGCGTCCCGCGCAACCCAGCACGGCGTTTCGTGGCCCCATATGGAGCTCCACCGAAGGCCCCAATAGTGGGTGTGACCATGCGTCCCGCGCAACCCAGTACGGCGTTTCGTGGCCCCATACGGAGTCTACCGAATGCCCCAGTGGCTGTGACCACATGCGCCCTGCGCCACCTAGTACGGCATTACGTGGCCCTGTAGGAATAGGAAGCCCCATTCGAGGCCCCAGTGGCTGTGGCCACATGCGTCCCGCGCCATCCAGTACGGCGTTTCGTGGCTCCACAGGGAGCTCCACCGAAGGCCTCAGTGGCTGTGACCACGTGCGTCTCGTGCGGCCCCTAGATGGAGGCCCCAGTGGCTGTGGCCACATGCGTCCCGCGCCACCCAGTACGGCATTTCGTGGTCCCATAGGGAGCTCCACCGACGGCTCCAGTGGCTGTGGCCACATGCGTCCCGCGCCAGTTCGTGGCCCCATGGGGAGCTTCACCGAAGGCCCCAGTGACTGTGACCACATGCGTCCCGCGCAACCCAGTACGGCGTTTCGTGGCCCCATGTGAGCTAGCTCCACCGAAGGCCCCAGTGGTTGTGACCACATGCGTCCCACGCCAACCAGTATGGCGTTTCGTGGCCCCATAGGGAGCCTCATCGAATGCCCCAGTGGCTGTGGCCACATGCGTCCCGCGCAGCCCGTTACGGGGTTTCGTGGCCACATGGGGAGCTCCACCGAAGGCCTCAGTGGCTGTGACCACATGCGTCCCGTGCCACCCAGTACGGCACACCCCTCACGCGTTTCGTGGCCCCGCGCGGAGCTCCACCGAAGGCCCCAGTGGCGACGTTCGCATGCGGTTCCCCCCCGCCTATTTCGGCATGCCCCTTGCGCGTTTCGTGGCCACATAAGTAGCTCCACCGAAAGCGCCAGAGGCGACGTTCGCATGGCGGCCTCGCTCCATTTTGGCACATTTCTCACACGTCTCGTGCCCCATATGGAGCGCGACCGAAGGCCCCAATGGCTGGGGCCGCATGCGTCCACGCCCCAATTCGGCACACCGAGGAGGAGGAGGAGGAGAAGGAGGAGGAGGAGGAGGAGGAGGAGTAGGAGGAGGAGGAGGAGGAGGAGGAGGAGGAGGAGGGGGAGGAGAAGGAGGAGGAGGAGGAGAAGGAGGAGGAGGAGGAAGAGGAGGAGGAGGACGATGATGACGACGAGGACGAGGACGAGGACAAGGAGGACGAGGAGGAGGAGGAGGACTACGGGCAGATGCGGGGGGCAGAGCGGACGGGAGGGATTTGAGCCTCTTGGTGCCTTCTTGGGCGCGCTCTTGGGTTGATGTTGGATCGCCTAATGGGCTTCTTGGGCGCCTAGTACGTAGGGCCTCCTGGTGGCGTCTTGGGGCGGAAGGCTTGAACTGTTGGTTGGTGGTCACCCTTTTACGAGCCCCTTGGGCAGTCTTGGGCGTTTCTTCGGCCGTTTTTGGGCCGTGTTGAGCCGCGTCGGAAACCTCTTGGGAGCTTCTTGGGCCACGGCTTTATCGGACGAATCTGCTGCGCAAGCGAACTCGAGGCGCCAATGGTTCTCCTCCTCCTAGGGGGATCTTCGTCGTCGCAGCTGCATGCAGTTCGAAAAACTTGCCATAGTGGCCTCCAGGCGGTCAAATAACAGTGACCACAAGAATTTGCATATTCAATTTGATACCGTCGCGCCTCCCCCAATGAACACGAGTTTCGGTTTATGGGCTTCGTCGGGGCCCTCGAAGTACGCGGGCTCTGTGGTGCACATCTACATACAGTGTGGTGCACGCGGGCGCCAGTCGCCGCGCTGCGCGCGGCTGCTGCGGTGTGCACGCGGATCGTGTTGTACACCAGCGCCGTGGTGCACGCGGAACGTGCCTGTGTGGCCGCAGCGGTGCTGTGTAAAGGGCGTTTTTTTTCGCAGCTGTGCACGCAGGCGCCGCGGTGCACAGGAGCGCTGCCATGTACCCGGTCATTGTGATGTACACAGGCGATGTGGTTCAGATTCGGAAAAGGTGCCCATACCTCAACCCTTCGCTCGTTTTCCCCTTTTCGGGCCTCCTTGGAGGCCCTCGTCGCCACCGCTGGATTCGCCTCGAAATCCTGGTCAGAACGCGCCCTGGGAGAGGTCCGGGGGTAACGGCATCGGTACCTTTTGGTTTCCCCAACACAGGCGATGTGGTGCATGCGTAGGTTGCTGCATCAGCGTGCGTGGTGTGAGCAGGCATTGCGGTGTCAGCGCGCCTGGTGGCGATCGCAGCTGCAAGGCCATCTCGCTACAGCCGCACCACGCGTAGCAACAGGGGCAGTGCTTGCAGAAGAGAATCGAGCGGCCGGGCACGACGGTGTTATGTCGTGTGCCGGTGAACCCTCACACCCACCCAGCCAAAGAACGCGCGTTATGTGGTTTCAACCATCTTGAGCTCCAGCAGAGTGGAGCAGAACACTTAAAAGCAGTAGGGGCAGGACTTCTGCCTCGCCCTGCAAGGGAAGGGGAGGAGTAAGGAGGGGGACAGTGGTAAGGGCAGGACCGCGGCGGCGGCAGAGCGCGTGCTGAGCCCAGCCGGGGGCGCCTGCCGCCAGCGGCTCTGCCGACGGCCCCACCGCGCGCGGAGAATTTCCCACTGCGTGCGGCGTAGATCCGCACAGCGTGCGGATGCATATCCATTCAGTATGTTTGGTGCTTTTACGTTCTCTAGGCTCGTGCCGTTTCGATGGCGGCGGCGACCCCAGCGCGAGCCTTCAAGCCTGAATTCCGCCAGAGGCCCAGATTCGGCCAACATGGAAGCAGCCGACCGTTCAAGGTCGAAGCCAACGCCGGAGTCTGCGTGTTTTATGCATGTTCCTATAGATTGGGCCTCCCCTTGGGCACGAGTCCATGGGGTTTTATGTGTGTTCCTGTATCTTGCCCTTCTCCTGTGGCTTCAATCCGCAGTGTTTTATGTACGTCTGTTCCTGTGTATTGGGCCTCTACTGTGGCACGAATCCTCCCAAGGATGCCCCAGGAGGCTCCAGGAGGCTCCAGGAGGCCCCAGGAGACCACACGAGGCCCCAGGAGGCTCTAGGAAGCCCCATGAGGTTTCAGGAGGCCCCAGAGGCCCCAGGCTCATGCGCAGAGACGCGCTCGTACTACTGAGACTCACTCACACTCCAGCTCATTCACAGTTAGATTCACTCCCAGACCGTCACTACTCAAGCCCGTTTATATTCGCAAACTGTTCGCCAGACACTCAAAGTGGACAGGTCCACGCTAATAGATGCACATATGGGGAGCTCCACGCAGTGAATCCTTACTCCGACCGCACCAACTCCTTCAAACTCACTCCTTCTCATCCTCCTCCGCCTCCTCCTCCTCTTCCTTCTCCTCCTCTTCATGTTATGCTATGTTATGAACGATGTGTTATGCCATATAATGGTATGCCATGTACTGCCATGCCCGATTATGGTGTGACATGTTCTGTTATGTGTTACTATGGCATTTTATGTTATGTTATATTGTGTGAGCTATGTCATACCATGCTATGTTACGACATGGTATGACTGTTGCATGTTATTAGGGTATGATCTACAATGCTATGGTATTTACTGACATGTTATGATGAGGTGGTGCTAATGATGATGTTGGTGGTGATGATGAGGATGCTGCTGATGATGATGAGGATGTTGTTGCTGTTGTTGTTGCTGCTGCTATTGTGGTGGTGGTTGTTGTGGTTGTGGCGATTGTTGTTGGTTTGTGGTGGTGGTGGTGGTGGTAGTGGTGGTGGTGGTGGTTGGTGTTGTCGTTGTTGTTGAACTTCCACTTCAGAGGAATAATTATTGTTGATCCCCCCTCACAGGTGCACACTGTTTTTTTCTTAGTCGAAGTGTGCCCCTCGACGCTCGCACCTTGTTTTTTTGTCAGGGATAGTCTTGGTGCTCAAACTGGGCCCCTGGCTCCCCGGATTACAACAACAACGGCTCCCGTCTGAGATTTCCTCCAAATTTACTCAAGACCCCCGCTCCTGAGACTTCCCCACAATTTACTCAGGATCGGTGCTCCCGCCTGTGACTTCCTCGCAATTTAGTCAGGTCCCCCGCTCCCATCTGAGACTTCCTTACGCATTACTCAGGAACGGCGCCCCCGCTTGAGACTTCCTCGCAATTGAATCAAGACTTCCTCGCGATTTAATCGAGACCCCCGCTCCCACCAGAGAAACCTTCACATTTTATTCAGGAATTGCGCTCTCGCCTGTGACTTCCATACAATTTATTCAGAAATCGCGCTGTCGACGCTCAGGAAACACGCTGCGCCAAGGACGCCGTTACAATTTACTTAATAATCGCGCTCTCGCCATACTCAGGCATCCCGCTTGAATGTCCCACCCGCCCGACCCGCCCGTCAGGGGATCGCCCGCCAGTCGTGGGCTCCCGCCCGAGACTTCCCTCAGGAACGGCGCTTTCGTTTAGGACTTCCTCGAACGTTCACGCTCTTACCTTCCTGCTCCTCCTCCCTCTCCCTCCTCTCTTCCCTCATCCTTATGCCTCTCTGCCCTATCCCCTCTCCCTCCTCTCCCTCCTCCCTTCTCCCTCCCCTCTCCTGCCTCCTCCCTCCCTTTCTTTCTCTCTCTCTCTCTCCCCCTCTCTCTCTTTCTCTACCTCTCTCGTTTTTTTTTTTTTTTTTTTTTTTTTTTTTTTTTCCTCTCGCTGTCTGCCTCTAATCAACCGCCCCCCTCTTCACTCCTTATCTCCAGGCGTTTTCCCTCTTCCTTCGTCCCTCCCCCTCCCTTCCTCCCATTCTCACTCGTTCTCCCCCTCCTCTTGTTGCAGGGCCCACACCTATTCCAGTGGCTCGCACATATACGCCCACGAAGGATTGTCAGCCCGTTCAGGTTTGCCTGCTTGTCTAAGCCCGCCGCCCCCGGCAAAGCAAGGCGTGATCGAAGACACAAAGGGCGGGTATCGTGGGGAACTCGTTTTGAATGGCACGCGGGCAAGTAAGAGCGAACAGTCTTATAATGATTGTTGTTGTTGATGATGATGATGATGTTGATGATGTTGATGAGGGTGATGCTGCTGATGATGATGATGATGATGGTGATGATGAGGATGATGATGGTGATGGCGGGGCACATTCTGATAATGTCTCGAGCGAGGCGCGGGTTTCAGCACCCCCAAGGGGTAGTTGCCAGGGGGTGTCTCACTCCTCCGTTCGCGGCAAAATGGCTGAGATGTCTCAATTGGGGTGCATGTTTTGGTTCCCAACATACCCCGCTTCCGGAACATATTCTGAGCGAGGCGCTGGTTTTCGCCCCCAAGGGGGGGCGGCCAGGGGGTATCCCACTCCCCCGTTCGCGCCGCAATGGCGGCGATGTCTCGAGCGGGGTGCCTGTATTGGTTCCCAACATCCTCCGCGTTCGGAGCGGATTCTGAGGATGTTTCGAACGAGGCGCTCATGTTCGCACCCAACAGGGGCCAGATTTTGAGAATGTCTCGTGCGGTTTGCTTATGTTGCTGGTCAGGCTCGTGGGTACGGATCATTTTCAGGATGCCACGGGAGGTTCCAGCAGGCTCCATGACGCTCCAGGAGGCCACAGGAGGTACCAGGAGGTATCAGGATGCTACAGGAGGCCACGGGAGGCTCCAGGAGGCTCTAGGATGCCCCAGGAGGCCCCAAGAGGGCCCAGGAGGCACCAAAGGGCCCAGGCACGGCGGACAGGTCCATGCTAATAGATGCACATCTGGGGAGCTCCACGCAGTGACTAATTTTTTGACAGGAATGGTGGCGTGGGGGGGTGGGTGGGGGTCATCGGGTTGGCCGCGTATGCTCCAAATGTGGAGGCAGAGTGCGTTTTGTATTGTTATTCGGCAGGGATGGTGTGGGGGGGGGGGCATGGTTCCTGGTTGACCGCATGTCGCCTGGGGGAGGGGGTGTATATTAATAGGGAGCAGTGATCAACCCTCCCCCGGAAGGGAAGAAGGGGGTTGGAAGAGGAACCGCCTCAGATCACCTATTCCAAGAAGCTGGTGGGATTACATGAACCTTCCACACCGCTCAAGAACTTACCAAGACGTCCCAATCGGGCCCAACACAACCCAGAGATGCCCCAAGACGGCCTTGCTGTGCCCGCAAGATGACCCCGTGAGAGCCTCCAGATCGTTTAACTCAGCGAAGGAGCCAAAGAGTTCCTTCGCGTGACGGCCTTGCTGCAGCGCGCGTGCTTCCCGAAGCGCGCCTGCCTTTCACCCGCTGGCAACACACACAGTGCTTACACTATGAGCTTGGTAAATAGCTCGTCCTCGTCTTGCTCCTTCCTTCTCCCCATTTTCACCGTCACCCTCACCATCACCACCACCCATCATCATCGCCATTCTCATCATCACCATCATCACCATCAGCATCACCATCAACATCATCATCATCATCATCAGCATCATCATCATCATCGTCATAATCACCGTCATCATCACTATCACCATCACCATCACCATCACCATTGTCATCATCATCATCATCATCATCATCATCATCATCATCATCATCATCATCATCATCATCATCAGCATCATCATCATCATCATCATCGTCATCGTCATCGTCATCGTCATCGTCATCGTCATCGTCATCATCGTCATCGTCATCGTCATCGTCATCGGAATCGTCGTCGTCGTCATCATCATCATCATCATCATCATCATCATCATCATCATCATCATCATCATTATCCTGTCCCACGCAGGGCGTGTTAATGGCACGATTTGGCTCGCTATCCCCCGTGCGTCGTGGATGCGGGTCAACTCCGCGACGTGGCACGTCGCTTGCTGCCTCCGCCTGGGGTCGGTTTTGGCCCCGCCAGGCCCTGTATTCAAGCTGCAGAGATCCGTCGCCGTGGACGGCGAGGAGGGCGGGGACACGTGGGACTGCGGATTCGCTTGGCAGGCGCGCCGCGCTTGATCTGGCGTGCCCGCGCAGCGCCATCCGCCTGCGGACGCACACTGGTGCTGCGCGCGGAGTTGAGGACGAGCTGCGGGCTGCCGGTGCCGTCGTTGATGTCGAGCGCCGATTGTGCCCGAGCTCTACGACACGCACGAGAACGGGTTGATCCGGGAGGCCGTCATGGACTTTGTGGTCGGCTTCCCGGCGACCGCGCAGAAGTGGTGGCTCGACGTCACCGTGCGTTCGCCCTTGGGCAGCGCGCTGTTCGCCTCGAGCAGGGTGGCCGGGTCCGCGGCGGCAGTGGGTGACAATTGCAAGAACGTCCGCTACGGCGCTGGCGTGCGCAGCATCAGCGTCGAGTCGGGCGGGCGGCTGAGCGCAAGCGCAGCGACTGCACTCGCGGACCTCGCTGCGGCGTCGCAGCCTTACGGCCGGCGGCAGCGGGGCGGGCGCCGTGGCACGACAGCACTAGCGCTCGCTGGGCGCGTCTGTGCGCTCGTCGTCGCATGGTGCGCGGACGCGACGCTGGCCGCCCTCGGCTACTAGCGGCGCCACGGCGGCGCCCTCCCCCCTTCCCCCCTCTCCTCCTCTCTTTGCTTCTCTCCAGTTCAGCCCAGACTTCATCGTGCAGGCGGTGTATGGACCACTGTCATCATCATCGTCATCGTCCTCCTCCTCCTCCTCCTCCTCCTCGTCCTCCTCCTTCTCCTCCTCCTCTTCATCATCATCATCACCACCATCATCATCACCACCACCATCACCATCAGCAGCATCGTCGTCATCGTCGTCTTCGTCGTTGTCGTCAATCATCATCATCATCATCATCATCATCATCATCATCATCATCATCATCATCATCATCATCATCATCATCATCATCATCATCATCATCATCATCATCATCATCATCATCATCATCATTACCATCCCGTCGTTTCTCCCCTTCCTATTTTCCCGCGTCCCCAGTCACCCTCCCACTCTCCTTCTCGTATCCCCGATCCTTCAAGCACGGTGGGAAATGCCAAGTCTTGGGTCGTGACGACATCATCCGCAGGGGCACGGGGTGCACGCCATTCGACGCCTCCCAGGTCCAGGAAGCATGGCCTATCAGGTCCAAATCGTATGGAAGGCCCATCTGCGATCCACCATGTCGGGTGTGGTGCGGCAAGGGTGCATTCGCAGAGCGGCAACTTGGCACTCGCATTCTGCTATCATGGGTGCTTTGCCGGGATTCTGTTTCTTGGCTTCTTATGCCTTTCACCACGGTTTTTCTGTCCCCACATTTTTTTTGGGGGGGGGCTGCCCCATGCATCCGATTGTATCGCAGCTTGGGAGATCCCTGGCCGTGGCCGCTCTTTCGGAAAAAAGGGGGGTTTCCTTGAAGATGATGTGTTGTTCCGAGTCTAGAGCGAGAGGGATCGGAGGGCACCGGCTCCACACCTGCAGTTGCACCGATCCTGGCCGCAGGCCGATCCTCGTCCCAGGATAGGTGTATATGCTTTCCTGCAGGTTGTATTCGCCGATCTTTTCGTTGCGGAGCGGCTCGGTGTTCCTTGATTGTTTCAAAGTTTGCCTCGAGGTTGAACTTCTGGAAAAAGGGGCCTCGTTCCTTATTTAGGGTTCCTTAAGTCAACGCCCCGACTGTACCGGTACCGCTACTTCCCGGACCTCTCCCCCGGGGTGCGTCCTGGCCAGAATGTCGAGGCTAATCCCGCCGTGGCGGCGAGGGCCTCCCAGGAAACCCCAAAAGAGGGATGACGAGGGAATGGTGGCGGCTGAAAAACGAGGGACGAGTAGCCGTACCGTTGCCTTCTCGTCCTCTTCCGAGCAGGTGCATCGTTGGCCTCCCCCCAGGCATAGGCGGGGCGGCACCTGCTCGCCTGGACGCCCCGCTCCGTTCCGCCCGCGCGCCAGCACGTGCTCGCGGTCCTCGCGGCGGCCTCGCTCGTCTGTGTGGTGATGGCCTTCTGGGTGGGCTGGAAGAGCTCCAGGAACTCGGCGCCCAGGGGTGGGGGGGCAGCTCGAAGAGCATCAGCCGCGCGCGGAGGGCTTCTCAGAAGCACCCTGCTTCGAATAAGCCTTCCCCCTTCCCTCCACCCCCTTGCCCGCGCCGCCAGGAACAGCATAGCGGCATACGCGTCAGTTCTCGGAGGTCCGCGCCGATCTTTTGGATCGGCATTGAGCCTTCCTCCTCCGGAGGCGTTGGCGCGCTCCGCGCGCCAGGGAGGAGGGTCCAGCGCCTATCCAAGAACTTCTCGTGGGCCTCCGGGAAATGATGTTTATGTTTTTTGTTCTTCTAGCAGCACCACTCGGCGGCGCACCCAGGGGGAAAGAGGGGGCGCAGGAAGCTTCAAGGCGGCGGGGCTTCTCAGAAGCCTTCGGCGCGGTCGGAGAAGGCGCAGGAACTTATCAGGAGGTCAGAGGCCTTCCGAGCCTTCTGAGAAGGCCCGCCGCCTCTGCCTTCCCCCCTGGGCTCGTCGCCGAACCACGCCACAGGCCGTCTGGTGAGGGTTGGTATCTGTCGCGGGCCCCTAGGCGGTGCTGTGACCACACGGTGTGGTGAGGCAGTGGGGATTCGGGGTGATCGCGCGGATAGGGGACTCGGGCGCTCTCCCAAGACGCCCTGGGCGACTGGGGCCTCCAGTGTCCCAGAGTGGTGCTGTGACGGACGGTCTCTGAGGGTTTTGAGGTCACTGCACAGTCTGTCAACCATTTTGGGATCCCCACGTTGAGAATTGGTATCGGGAGCGTCTCCGATGGGCTCGAAGTATGCACCACGTCGTTTGGTCGGCCAAGGAGCCAAGGAACCAAGGAGTTCGGTGAAGGAACTCGGTGCATACACGCTCCAGCATTCCACAGCTCGAGAAGTTGGGGCGTCTATACATCAAGCGCCTTGGCCGACAAGACGACGTGGTATGCACATCGTCGATGTGCATACCACGTCGTCTTGTCGCTGGGAAGGGCTCGATTCGAGCCCTTCCCAGCGTCCAAGAGGGGGGGTTGAGGACGTTCTCGTAGACGAACGGGGGAGGGTCAGGGCATTTTCCTTGGATCTCGACTGCTCTCTATCTCCTCGGGGCGCTTTTTCAGCAGCTGCGCCGGCGGCCGCACGGGTCGTCCCGAGCGGCCGCCGGAGGCTCGGGGTATGGGCCCGGGAGCCGCCGGGCGTCGAGGGGGGTGAGGACCAGGGGTGTGGAAGGCGATGAATGGAGAGGAAGCGTGCTGCCAAACCATTTCCAGATGTCTAAGCGATGTTTTAAACATACTTCAAACATGTTAAACACATGTTTGACATATGTTCAGAACATGTTTTACACATTTTACATTTTTTATTCCATGATAGGGTTGTTAAACTGTCCATTGTCATGCCATCCACATGACTAGGGGTGCGTGTGTGTGTGTGTTGCCTGAGCGGGCCCGGCTTCCTCTTTTCTGTCGCGCCGGGGTTCCTCCTCTTCCTCCGTGCATGGCGGCTTTAATTTGCATGCAGCGCGCCCCCTGTTGCCAATCCGCTGGAGCAGTCACCGTCTGCCCAGCCGCCGACGCACAAAGTGTGTGTATATCATGCCGTGGCCATGGCATCTCCCAGATCTCCTGGCATTCTCTACTTCTTTCAACACGTCCCCTAGCCCCTCTTCGTCCGCGCACATTCCCTGGGTCATGATTCCACTGAAGGCAGGGCATGCCTTCAGTGAGCTTGCTGAAGGCACAGCTCTCTGTTGCCTTCAGGGGTAAGTTGCCTTCAGCGATTCGCTAATCCCCTCTTCCTGGACCCGATCGTGGAACGACGGTGCAGTTGGACCCGATGCACAGGTCGACCCTACAAGGTCGAGGGCGCAGCTGTGTCCTGTGTCGCGTCTCCTGTCCTCCTCCTGTCTGGATCACGGATGCCCTCGGAAGAAGCTCTGCAGTGTGCTCGATTCCCTTGATCCCAGTCCACGCTGAGCGCCTCCCTGCTTCCAGAATCGACGGTCTCCTGCTCAGACCACCGATGCCTCGGTCGGGCGGGGCCCGATCTTTTGAGTCGGGGGTGGACAGACCTCCCACCCTGACACATCGATTCGTGAATTGTCCGTTGTCGGTTCTCGAGAGGGCGCCGCAGCCGTCATTTGCCAGGTTTGCGCCCGCCAGGTTTGTCGTGCCCGAGGTCATTTTCATTAAACCACGTTTTACTGATGGGGGCTGTGTCCATCCCTCATGGTTCTACCAAGCGGCGGCGAGCCTTGGGGGGGGGGGCAGACGGGGCGGGCGTCCTCAGAAGGCATCGGAAGGCCTCTTGCCTTCAAGTTTGCTGTCCAGCTCCGAAGATGCAGACGGCGTCTGAGAAGCCCCGCCTCCTTCTGAGAAGGACTGCCCCTTCTGCCTCCCCCCCTGGGCGCGCCGCCAAACCAACAGCCTGTCTGTTGGGGTGGACTGAAGGCCGTTCGCAGGATCGAGAGAGAAGCGGGATGCGGCTGTGAGCGTGCGAGGAGGGTCTGGAGCAGCGTTAGGGGGGTGAGGCTTAGGGGGGGAGGCATCGACCCCCGATCGCCCATACATCGCCGACAGGGGCTCGATAGTCCACTCCGCCGAGGAGCGCGCTGCCTTGTTATCGGGGGCCCATCGCCGATCCATCGGCGATGCATTCGCCGATTCCAGGTCGATGCTCCCCTCCCGAGCCAGTCCCCCCGTCGCGTCTCCCCTCAGAAGGGGGGCAGGAGGGCATGAGCGAGCAGAGCAGACACCTCCCGCCTGTCGGCGGCGAGCCCAGGGGAGAAGTGAGAGGGGGGCGGGCCTCCTCAGAGGGCGGCGGGGCTTCTCGGAAGCCTCCTGCACCTTCCGAGGAGGCTTTTTTGTGCCTTCGGAGGAGGCTCGGACAACTTCTCGGGAGGCCAGCGGCATTCCGAGCCTTCCCTCGAAAGCCCGCCCCTTCTGCCTCTCCCCCCGGGCTCGCTGCCGCCCCTGGCTTCGGATGCAACTCCTGGGAGGTAAAATTCGGATTTTGCCCTGATCCGAAATCCGGCTTAATCCCGCTTAATCCCGCTGAATCCAGCTTAATCCCGCTCAATCCCGCTTAGTCTGGCTTCATCCGAGGCCCACTCCGGCGTAACAGCCCCCCAATGGGGCTTAATCCTCTTTAACCCTTCCGACGAAAACCTCCCAGTAGTTGCCTCCTAACCTGCCCCCGCGGCTCCAGGGCCATGATGAAGACGCTCACGGTGTCGACGATCGTGCTCGGCGTCATCCTGCTGGCCGTGGCCCTGCCTCGAGCCCAGCGGGCGGGGCCTGGCCCCGGATCGCCGCGGCGCCCCGGCTCGGAGGGCGAGGGGGGAGCTGAGCAGAGCGGAGGCCAACGGAGCGTGTGTGTGTGTGTGTGTGTGTGTGTGTGTGTGTGTGTGCTTGTGTGTGTGTGTGTGTGTGGTGTGTGTGGTGTGTGTGTGTGTGTGCGTGTGTGGGTGTGTTCTTGCCTTGTGGAAGTCGATTAATGGAGAGGAAGCGTGCTGCCAAATCATTTCCAGACGTTTGAACTATGTTTCAAACATGTTTAAACATGTAACATATGTTTGAAACATTTTTTGAACATGTTTTACACATTGCAAACACATTTTGAATTCAATGGTAGGATTGTTAGAGTGTCAATTGTCATGGCATCCACAATTCTTGCCTCCAGTGACCTGTCGTGCCCCTCCCCTTCTCTCCCCGTGTCTCGCCGTCTTCCCGCCCCTGCCCCTCGCGTCTGCCCCCACGCGAGTGACCCCGCTGATCCCCTATGGGAGGATCCCAGGTCCCCACGCCGCGTAAGCTGGGCCGGCCGCGCGAGTCTCTTTGCCCGACTTTCGGCCCCGCGCCGCCGCGCGCGTGCCGGCGAAGCCAAAAGTGTGTGTGTGTGTGTGTGTGTGTGTGTGTGTGTGTGTGTGTGTGTGTGTGCGTGCGTGCGTGCGTGCGTGCGTGCGTGCGTGCGTGCGTGTGTGCGTGTGTGTGTGTGTGTGTGTGTGTATGTGTGTGTGTGTGTGTGTGTCGAGTGCAGGGCCTGCTGTGGCCCCAAGGACGAGCGGTGCAGGCATTCAGGGCGCTGGGCGTCTGCTAAATTCTAGGCGCTTCGCGTATCCCCACCAGCCAATTCCACTCTGGCGATTTGGAGCCATCCACTCGCATGGTGCATCTGCTACCCTGGCCGTTTGCAGTCAGCTCAGCCAGCTCCCCTTCAGCCCGCGGCCCCACCGGCGGCTGCTTCTGAGTGCGGGCTCGGCCGCTGTGCTTGTAGGCTTGCGCGTGGCCAATTTGGCAGGCCCGTGGCCCGGACTTCTCACTCGGCGACAGCGATTCCGCGTCCGCCCGCGACAAAAAACGTATCCCCACCAGCCCTTCGCAGGTCGCATAGTTTGCCCCTGCTTGCCGGGCGTCCGACTCGTTTCGTGCGCCTGCGTGTATCCCCGCCAGCCCATCCAGAAACGATGTCCAGGCGAGTTGAGGTGATCAGGGAAGTGTGGGAGCAAAGATGGGGACGACCGAACCTTGTGAAGGAGGGAGGAGGAGGAAGAGGAGGCTGGATGGATGGATGCGGGAGTGGGCGAAGGAGGATGAATATGATGATGACGATGATGATGATGATGATGGTGATGGTGATGATGATGATGAGGATGATGATGAGGAGGAGGAGGCGGAGGAGGAGGAGAAGGAGGAAGAGGCGAAGGAGGAGGAAGAGAAGGAGCAGGGGGAGGAAGGACGAGCAGGAGGAGGAGGGCAAGCAAAAGGGCCAGAGGTCTCTTGGATGCCTCTCGGAGCCTCTTGGGATATCTCTTGGACGCTTCTTGCTGGCCTCTTGGGACGTCTTGGGGGTCCCTTGGCGGTCCTGGGGGGCTCTTGGGCGTCTTGGGTGCCTCCGGGGGGCCTCGTTGGGGTCCTCTTGGGGGCCTCCTGGGGGCCTGTTGGGGCCGCTCACTCCCACCCGCCATCCCTACACCTAAGTAGCCCGAGCCTGAACATGTTCAGCGGTCGTCTTTGGATGGACAACTGCTGGGAACCAAAGCCGACCCCAGGTGCGCGACGCTTGGGCGAAGTGCACCACAAGTGCCAGGGGCGCCACGCGCGCCAGGTACCCCTTGGCCCGAGCGTGCCAGGCACGCCTGGTGCGCCAGATGCGCTACGTGCTCCGAGTGCGCCAGGTGTGCCCCACATTCCAGCCGCGCCAGGTGCGCCGCGTTCGGGGCATGTGCAGAGTGAGTCAGGTGCGCCTGCGCACGTGACAGCACACATCGGGAAACATGTCGGTCCCCACCATCCTTGTCGAAAACCGATGCCCATCATTGTGTCTGGTGGGCCTGCGCACAGCAGTCCACGCGTCAACACCCCCGCCGCCCCTGTCAAGAACCACTGGACAGTGATCGCGGGATGGTCGCGCATGATCCAGATGTAGCCGCAGGGATGGGAACCCTGCGCGCAGCAGGGAATATGCTGACACCCCCGCCGTCCTTGTCAAAACCAATACACAGTGCTCGCGGGCCTCACGAACATGACTCAAGACTTTGCCCCAAATTGTACTTTGCATGGTTTTCTGACAGGGATGGTGTGGGGGGCCGCATCGGGTTGGCCGCGCATGCATCAAATGTGGAGGCATCATGCGGTTCGTATTGTTTTTGACAGGGATGGTGGGGGGCGGGTCGGCATAGTGTCGGCATTTTGCCTGGTTGGCCCCCGGTCGCATGGGGGAGGGGGTGTATATATTAATAAGGAACAGTGATAACCCCTCCCGGAAGGGGAAGAAGGGGGTTGGAAGAGGAGCCGCCCTAGATCCCGACGCTCAGAGGGCTGGTGGGATTCAGCAAGGCCGTCGCGCCCGCCAAGCGCCAGGTCTACCTGAGCGTCTCGCATTCTGCTCTGTGGTTGTGCAGCGGCTGCGCCAACCTTCTCCCCCTGGACGGGCCATTCCGCCATTCCAGGACGACGCTCTCTGACCGCCCGCCCCCCCGTGGTTCCTCGGCCCTCCCCCTGCCCAGGGGCTGGGCCGCGATCCCCCCGATCGGCCACGACAGAGTCGCCCGCCCGCCCTTCGGGCCCGATGGGCGAAAGACCCTTCCGCGAGGCCTGCGGCAGTTGCTCCTCTCCATGGCCTCAGATGGCGGTCTGGTGCAGGCCCAGAAGCCGCTGCCAGTTTGCAGCACTTTTGACAACAGGTTCGGCACGCCCCCAGGGCCCGCTACTTTCCAGTGCGAATTTTGCACCGCCAGCCTCCAAGTCCTCTTCCTCCCTGACGGCGCCGTTGGCGGCGGCCCCATTGGGTCGTTCGTGTTCCGCGCCCTCCCAGACCGTGTCTACCGCTCTTCTTGATGGTATCCCGCTTTGGGCTCGACCTTGGCGATGCTCGCAAAGGCGCCCAGCACTGCACGCGCTGCTGCTCCGAGCTCTGGCACATCAGCCCAGAGGGGGTCAGGATCGTCCTCGAGTCCTGCGTCGCGGAGATCATTCCCCTGGGCTACCAGATGCCGCCTCACATAGCCGCCCACTCAGCGCCCGGGATGGCTGCTTCTCTTCCCAATCGGCTGCGGCTCCCCGATCGCCCTGCCCGACCACCCGCCCGAGCCACCAGCCGCGAACGTGGATGCCGCCCCCCGCGGCAGTTCGGCGCCGCCGAACGGTCTCCCGTGGACCCGCCACCCGCCAGCGACGGGCTACCCCACCGGCTTGTCTGTCTCCAAGGCAGGCGCCGCCGCACGGCTGGCCGCTCAGGCCAGCGTCGATCCCTGAGTGAGTGAGTGATGATGATGATGAGGAGGAGGAGGAGGAGGAGGAGGAGGAGGAGGAGGAGGAGGAGGAGGAGGAGGAGGAGTCAGAATGAGTACGAAGAGCGCCCCCTCCTCCACCGCAGCCGCGGTCCAGACGGCCTCCCGGGCCTCCCGCGGCCCAGCCACGTCTCTCGGCCCCCCCCGTCGGCCCCCCAGCCTAGCGGCCTGTCCACGGCCCCCCCGTCCCGGGGGGCGGCCGGCACGGGACTGGCCTTTTCAGCGCCCGCCACCACAGCGGGCCTGCCCTGCCCTGGGTCTGTCTCCTGGCCATTTGCTCGGAGGCGACGATAGGGGCGAATAGCCCAGGGGTGAGCAATATCACGTATCCAGGGGCGCCGATGATTCATGTCTTCGGCGAGGCTCCTGGGCGAATGCGTGTAATGCCCGCCCCTGGGCTATTCGCCCTTGTCGTCGCCGCCGATCCGCCCCCGTCGGCCTTTCCAACGGCCTCACCGAAGTATGCTCGCTGTGCGCGCCGCCCTCGCGAATGCTAGCCCGCACCGCGACGTCGGACATGAACGCGCGGCCGTCATGTGCCGGCAGCTGGGCCCTCCTGGCGAGCCCCCGGTGCACGCGAGCGGCGCCGAGGTCCCTGACCTCGCGGACAACCGAGGCCTCACCCGCTCTCGGCAGAGGCAGCCCCCGGACCCCCCGCGCTCGGCGCCAGAGCTCCCCCCCGGCCCTTGTTCGCGGGAGGCGCGCTGCAGCGGCGGGCGCCCCCCAGCCCCTGCGGCCCTCGGCCGCCGGGTGGAGCTCCAGCGGGCGGTCCGCGTGGGGCGCGGACCCCCGGGCAGCCCGCGGCTGGGACGGCGGGGAGCGCCGTCGCCGCCATGGAGCAGGGCGGCGCCACCCCTGCTGCGGATGGCCCTGGGCCCAGCCTTTCGGGCGGGGCACCTCCCGCCCAGTGGCCGCCGCGCGCGAGCTCGTCCTCTAATTGCCTCAGGCGGGGCGGCGAGTTCGGCGCGGCCATTCTCCGCGCGTTCGAGACCGATGTGCAGTGCGGGACAGACGAATTGCTCCTCGAGCTCGGCGGTGCATGTCTGTCGAAGATCGGTGCTCCGCGGGCAGCCGTCGCGCGCGCACTGCGCCTCCGCGCCGACGGTCGTCTCCGTCCTTCCGCCTAAGCAGCGGGCGCTCCCAGGGCCGGGGGGCGCCGCCGCCGGTCACCTCGCAAGTGTTCTTTCGGTCGAGTCTCGTCGGCCGCGCCCTGGCTTTGCTCGCTGAGGGTGCCCCCTGCGCTTTATAGGCGACTCTCCCCTGGCCCGACTTGGCCCTCGTTTGTGGTCCCGACATGGGCGAGGGCGTGGAGGCAAGGCTAGGTCCAGAGCTGTGCACGGTCGATCAACTCAGCGATTTCCTGGTCCGTGCCCCCGCCTGGATTACGCGCGCGAGCGCGCAGAAGGGCCCAGCCGAGGAGCCCAGCTCTCAGAAGCGCGGCCCTTCGAGGGAGCTGCCGCGGCCGCCGCGCCCTCCTGTTCGC